CAACAAGCATTTATTAAGCACATAGTGTGTTACAGGCACTGTGCTAGCTTCTGGGAATGCAACTACCAAGAATGAAACAATCTCCACTTGCAAGATGACATTCTGATGGGAAAACAGCTACATACACAAGTCTATACAGAAAAAATATAAAAAGAAGAAATATTACTGAATGTAAAATACTTAGGGGAAGACAGTATTTATGGTTTGGGGGCAAGAAAGTCATGTAATAGGTGAAGCTTGAGCTATGCTTTGATCGCAGGGATTCTATGAAGTAGGAGTGAGGAAGGAGGGCATTCCAGGCATGGAAGATGGACAGTGCCAAGGACAGAGATGGAGGATGGAATGTCATGTGTAAGGAACAGAAAAGAGGACAGTTTGACTGGATCACACAATATAAGAAGGGATATGTGTGTGTGTGTTTACATACACACACACACACACACACACACACACACACACAAAGCAAGGCTAGGAAGATGGGTTTTGCTTGGATTATGAAGTGATTTAAAAGCTAAATAGCGAAGTTTATATTTTATCCTAGAGGCAATAGAAAGGAGGGGTTGGCATGAATGCTTGGAAGAAGTAGAATACAGGATGGCATGCTTCCTCTTGTCAAGGACATAGTGGTATGTGAAGGGGAGCAATGGAAAATGGGCCTGGAAAGGTAATGTATATATGGCAGGCCCTGACCTAACCTACCAGATCAGATACAATCTCAAGGGCCCCTCTCTAATCAGAAACCTCTGTAGCTCACGCCCCCAGCACCACCCAAGGGTTCCCATGAGAACATCAGAATTGGGCTCGTGTGTCTCAAATGATGCTGTACCAAAAGTACAGAAAGGATTCAGAGCCTGGAGCAAAACAATGCAGAGCCCTTTTGGGGAACTCCATTTCCCTCCTCAGAGGTTCAGCTCATAATCTCCACAAGCTCACGAAACTACTTAGTCTTGTCTATACTTTGCTAGTGAAATTGCAGGACCAGAAACTAGTACAGCATCCTATACTACATCCTTGTTTCTGCTTCTGCAATATGTCCTGTGTCCTTCCCCTTCTCTCCACTCACACTGCCACCATCCAAATTCAGGCCCTCATCACCTCTCACTTGGAATATTGCAATAGATTCCTAATTGGTTTCTATGCCTCAAGTCTCTCCTCACTCCAGCCCATCCTCCACACAGCTGCCATAGTGATTTTGCTCAAGTGCAGGTCTGATTATATCATTTCCATATTCAATAAACTACAGTGGCTCTTTATTCTATGCAGGATCAAGAATAAACTCCTCTGTTGGGCATTTAAAGCCCTTCACAACCTAGTCTCATCCTACCGTCTCATCTCTATTACACATTATTCCCTTTCACAAATGCTACTGTTCATCTCCTTCTTACTCTTTGTCATACATGGAACTCCATTTCCCATGTCTATCTTTACATAAGGTGTTCCCCCTGCCTAGAATATACTCCCTCCTGACCTCTACTTCTTACAAATCCCTAGTTTCCTTCAAGGCTCAGATACTGCCTTCTAAATGAAGTCCTTCCTTGTCTAACCCAAATGCTAGTGCTTTCCCCTCAATTTTTTTATCTGTACATAAACCTATTGTGTGTATACATTTGACATGCATGGTTTTTCTCTCTCATCTGGATGGCAAATTAATTAATTGATTTAGTAAGTGTTCTTTTTTCCTAAAAACAGTTTTTACCATTTAAAAAAAATTAAGCAATCACTTTCAAGCAAATTAGGGATAAAACATTAGCCAATGACTAAACCCGGTGTCGTGCTCTTGACTCAGGAATAGCTTTAGTATCTGGACTGTTGAAATATCCATGAACTGTAGGCTTTGCTTATCTTTCTATTTGTTTTAAACTTGTCTTGTTCAAGGCAGTGTCTGTCCCATAACAAAACACCTAGAATGATATGCAAAAGTATCAGTCCATAATTTGTATGTTTGTTCTACACAAATTTTTAGACATCCATGTTTGGCACCTTAGACCAACCAAATATCTAGACTGATACATTGACTTTTGCATTGGGTGGGATGGTTGACATTGAGTAGCAACAACTAAATTCTTCTAGTACAGAATACATAAGGATCTGTAATTAAAGATCCAGCCAGCTGCATATTGACAGTTTTTAAATGTAATGTTATCTATGTTTTATTGTATTATTATTTAATTTGTTAAATATTTCCCAATTACATTTTAATCTGGTTCCCTGTACACTGGGAAATGACGCAGACTGCATGGGCCCACTGGTGATATGATTGACACCTCTACTCTAGACAAGGAGTAAAAGGAAGAAAAGGAGAGGAGGAGAAAAGGAAGGCTGAGAATCAAGCCCCTTTAATAATAGCTAGCATTTATATAGTGCTTTAAGGTTTGCAAAGTAGTTTACAAATATTATCTTATTTTATCCTTACAACAAATCTGAGGAGGTAAGTGCTACTATTATCCCTAATTTACAGTTGAGGAAACTGAGGCAGACAGAAGTTGAGTGACTTGCCCAGGGTCACACAACTACTAAGTGTCTTTGGCCATATTTGAACTCAGGTCTTCCTGACTTCAGGTCCAGCATGCTATTCACTGTACCACCTAGCTGCTTCTCTGATAATTATTCATATTTCTGGAACACCCTAAGTTTTACCAAATACTTACCTCACAAATCCCTATGAAGTGATGCAATGGTTAGAGCACTGGACCCAGAGTGAGGAAAAACAGAGTACAAATCCAGTTTGGACATTTACTACCTGTGTAAACCTGAGTAAGTTACTGAATGTTCCTCAGCCTCATTTCCCTCATCTGTATAATGGGGCTAATTATAACACTATACCCTGGAGGTAAGTCTGAGAATTGTTGTAAAGATCAAATGAGATAATATTTGTAAAGCATTTTGTAAACCTTAATGTGCTATATAAATATTATTATTTTCATTATTGTTATTACAGTAACAAAAGTATTATTAGCCTCATTTTACAGATGAGGAAACTGAAGCCCAGGTAGGTAAATTACTGGCCCAATCATACAATTAATGTCAGTATTAACTTGAGTCTTCTAACTATCTCCAAATCCAGTGTTTCTACCATGTCACACCCAATCTTGCTATTTTATATCTCCACGCCAGAGGTGAAATAATTCTTTTCACCCCTTCCTCAAACCGAATGGTAAACTTGAACCTCATTTGTCCTTTGCCAAAAGTGTTTAACTAAGCTTTTGGATCAGAGAGTTTTATTTGCTCCCATTTAGTTCCTTCCTCCCCCTCAGCCTCTTTATCTTTTGTGTTTATTCAGATTAAGTTGAAGTCCTTCTGCCTCCCTAAGGCATTTGGAAAGAGAAAATGTCAGTCCTCAAGCAGAGAAAAAATCCTAAAATACTGCACATTAGACTTGACTGATGAAGTATCCAAGATGGTTGTTAGACAATGTAAACAGGCTGCTAATGTTGAATGGACTCAGTCCTGCTTATGGAGAATTCTACACAATTATACGCAAAGGATTAAAAGAACAGGAGTTTGGTTATATTTTGAGGTTCAGGGGGTAATAATGATTGTTGTAAATTAACCATTACCCTTCTCAATGAAAAATGTCACATTTTTCAGCAAATATTTGTGCACCATAGCAAAAGTCAAATTACCCCCCAGTGTTGGTTGTGACAAATATCTTCTCCCTATACTATAGTAACTCCCTATGGTATCTAGCATGATAGATATATGTGGTAGTTTTTTCCCTCCCTTTTCTTTTTCTGTTCAAAGTAAAACTGTAATGATGCATCTTTTATAGCCCACTACAAAATAAAAATTATAATCAATATAAAAAAAGAAAATAATTTCAATAGATATTAATTCAGCAGCTACCTTATATATCTAGCACCATATGTGGCTCATTGGTGGGGGACATGAAATAAATATCCTCTGCCCTCATGGTGTTTGTTCCTTAAATTTTAGCCCGATGGTGGTGAACCTGCCACCGCCAGGCCACATGTGGCCCTCTAGGTCCTTGGGTGTCCCCATCCCTGTAATCTAGCTGATGTTCCTATTTCTTTGTTGTAATTGTAGAAAGATGGGTAGTTGTATAAAGAAAAAACTCTGGGTAATAACACTCTCTAACATCCTTTCAAAGCCATCCCCCAGTGTCCAACTGTAAAATTTCTTCTATTAACTAAATGAAATCTCTAGAGCTGCATTGTAAACCAATTTCATCCTCTTCTGTCCTCAGGAAAGAGAGCAAGCACCTGGTTAGTATCTTCCTTACTTCTTTTAAAGGTTCTAGCACAGTTGTACTGAGTTCACAGGATTAGGGCAATTGCTAACGGGGAATGAACTGTGGGAAGTTTTCCAAGCTGGCTCCCCCCACTCCCAAGAAGTTGGCAAGTATTCGGGTAAATTTTAGGACACACTTTAGCTGTCCAGTTATTTGGAAAACTAATCACTTACAAGGTCAGCTAGAGTGTATGATCAGTTTATAGGAAGACCTAAGGGAGAACTGGTCATAAACAAGGGAGGGATGAATATGAGACTAGCCATTTGAAGATATTGGTATGACAACACCATAGTTACCCACGAGTAAAAGGAAAGAAAGCCTTGTGATAAAAATGTCCCCTTCATCCTCCAAACTCCCTGTTAGCTATAGTCAGCCCCCCTCACTTACAGTGATGGCAGTGGCCCTGTCTTGTTCTGTCTGGAAACAAGATAAATCTCTCTCCATCATAAAAATGATTAATACTCTATTATAGTAGCCTTTTAGACTGGTTGTTGTGGGTTGTAACACATCATCAGCTATAAGTAGTTTGGCAAGTTTAAAAGACCTCGGCAATTCCAACCTAGTTAAAAGAGAAGTCAGGTTTTAGACTTTTTACTAATAAAGCGACTTCAAAGAAAGCAGATAGAATTGGGGCTATTAACTAGCATTCCCTCCCCCTCATCCCAGCATTGAAGAAGGCTTTCCTCATCCCAGGATACAATAAGAATTTAAATGGGCTCCTTCCTTAACACTCAAACCTTCTCCTTCCCAGTGTTCCCGGTCCTGTGGAGGGGGCATTCAGAAAAGAGACGTTCTTTGCAAGCAACGCATGGCTGATGGCAGCTTCCTCGAGTTGCCAGAGACCTTTTGCTCGGCCCCAAGGCTCGCCTCCCAGCAAGCCTGTAAGAATGAGGACTGTCCCCATGAATGGCTTCTCTCTGAGTGGACACAGGTAAGAATTTGAGCAGTGAAGGGTGAGGCGAATCAGGCCTGGGGAAGAAGTGAGGGCTGAGACAAGCCATCTTCCCTAACGTGCTGGAATCTGTAACAATTTATACCACGCTTTGTAACTGTTATTTAACTGGGCTATGGGGAACCAGCTTAGGCAGCCAGCCCTCACCTGACAATTGCAAGCATGTAATTGTAGCTGGCCCTTGTGGAGCAAAACTGATTCATATTTGGGGGAATGGGGCTCCCTCTGGGATACTGGGTCTCTGCTCCCCGCCTCCAGTTATTTTTGGTCTCTTCTCAGGGGGTCAAGGCCTCTCTGGCTCTTTCTCTCACAAGCTATAGCACAATGAAGAAAATGATTTATTTCAAGGAGAAGCCAAAAGAGATCCTGCTCCTCTACAGTCAGTTTCCTGGCTCCAGAAGCCCAGCATCTTCCCAGCCAAAAAACTGTTTTGTTTTGTGTCTTTTTCCCCCCTCCTGATCTCCTATATGTGGGCGATGGCTTGGATTAGCTCTGCTCTCAGGGATGATGCAGCCCCGAAGATGGTTGGATTTGGGGTTAGGAGACCTGGGTTTGAGTCTCAGCCCTGCTTTTTAAATCATTGTGTGACCTTGGACACATCATTTTTGCTCTTCTGAACGTTTGCTTCCTCACCTGTAAAATAAGAGCAGTGGATCAGATGATCACTAACATCCTTTCAGTAAATTCATTGTCTCTTTTTGCATTCTGTGATTCTATGATCCCTGGTTTACCTTACCAAATCCCATTGTGCATTTAGCATCTATTAGTTTAATTGAACCCATCTTAAGTCTGTTTATATTTTCGGCATTTGCTACTTCATGGGATTAGTATTACCAAATAACTTGAAACACAGAGACTCTTCCTGCACCCTATGCCCATGTGTTCACCATAGAGCTCTGCCAATGAATCACTGTCTCAGAAGGATCTAGCTGGGAAGGGAGTCATAGGGACCGAAATGTGCCTCTCTGAGTGTGCTAGAGCCAAAATTGAAATTCATCTCTTGCCCTTCATAAAGGTTTAGGGAATAATCCTTTTGCATTCCACCCTATCCCTTTGTACAGTTACAGCTCCTTTCAATCACAACTGATTGAACTACATCGCAGTCAGCCACTTGGATCCCCGAAGTGGAAAACTTCCCTGTAAATTAAGACGCCAGCTCTCTAAAAATTTGACCCCAGACTCCCTTGGAACATTGGTTTCTTATTCTAATGCCAATGGGAGTCAACTTTGCCCATTGCATTCTGTATGAAGGTGCCTGCTAAGGGGAATAACCAAGCTTTCCCCCAACAATGCCAAACAACTGTTCATTTCCAAATATTTATAATTTGGCTATAAAATCGCCTTCTGGGGCAACCTCATCCCCAAGGTCCTCAGGAAGGAGAAAACAACTTTTTTTCATATATAAAAACATTATTTTATCGAGGCTACTTACTGAAGGCAATCTCTGTATACACATATATGTGTGTGGGTGAACGCCCTTTTCTGGAATGACTTTTAATACCCAAAGAGTCATAATATTCTTAAATATAGGAAAATGAGGAAGGCCACATACCAGGAAGAAGTGGTGATGTATTTAGTATTGGCTTGAGATGTAGGTGTAATCTTAAAGCCAATTAGAAAAAGGTGTTGATTCTTTAAGCCATGAAGGAGGCTGAAGCAGGCCCTGTGGAGGGCTTAGAGCCATGGTCAGGCATCGAAGATGCCAAGGTCATCCACTGCATCCTGAGCCATCGCCAGTCATCTTGGCTTCTGTCTTGCCACTGGACTTCAATGACTCTGGAAGAGAGAGTGAGGCTGAAGACTTTGTGCCACTCTGCCTCACTTAAATCTAATTCACGCATGAGTCAAGACGTCACCCCATGATGCTACTGGTCCTCTCCAAAAACAAAGGACGAACAACAACAAGGGTCAGTCGTATCAGCAGAAGAGTCACAATAAGACCTGGCTATGTTTTCACTGTCTGTTGGTGTCCCTGGAGGTAACAGGATTTGGAGCAAAATGGATGTTAGGGAATTCAGAAGAAATTGCTGGTATTTGGCATTAAAATTTGTCAAAGACCTGCATGTTACAGAGAAAAGGAAAAGGAATACTATATTAAGTTCCTATCAGGTTAAGCAGCATTCAGACTACATTATTTTTATCCTCCTACTTCTGCTGATCTGTATGAGGAGATAGTAGCTAAAGCACACTGGCTGTCCAGAAGCAGGTCCACCACCCTTGCTGCCTGCACCACCTTCAACTAGTCCTGATGGGAACACCCTGAACGATATCATTTCAGAAGTCGTACTTTCCAAGTTGCTGCTGACCACATGTAGGCAATACTCAGCCAAAGGAATGTTAGGAAGTTCTTGGTTGTCCTGTTTGATTAATGGAGATTCTGAAAGTGGAGGTGGGGGTAGGGAATGGAGTTATGATATCAGGAAATCGGTTCAGCTGAATGGAACCTGGAGTCACACAAAAAGCATTCCCTGTAGTGTAGCGAGATGTTTAAGACTCACTATCTCATCAGAACTGCTGCTTTCTTGGCCCTCTGACTGAGATGAAATGTCACATCCACCTTTGAAAGCTATTATTCTGCACTAGGAGGACGTGTTCATGCTCCGATAAGCTTTTTTTTCCTATCTGGCCTAAGATATTTGGGTTAAATCTTATATTTTATCACATAGAATCCATCTGACAAAATAGCAAAGCCTGAGCCCCTCTTGGGTATTTCAACTAAAATTATTGGCAGATCCTGTTCAAAGGGAAAGACTTTTTTTTTTTAAACACATCCCTGAAAAAAGTCATACCTCGTTTTCAGAAAGTAACCTCCTTATTTTTTTAACCAATTAAATCCCTAAGGGAAAGGCTACCAAGAAAATATCTTTTAAAATCTTTTTGTGAAATTTTCCCCAAAAAATGAAGTTAAGAAAAATGTTTGCATTAGAAGAGAGTTTAAGGATGATGGAATCTAACCCTTTCATTTTAAAGATGAGAAAACTAAGGCCTAGCGATATAAACATGGCTTGCAGAAAGAGAATCCAGGCCTCCTAACTCTTTATCTAACAACATTTTCCTCATTAATTAATAAATTATTATTATTTAAATTAAATTTAAATTAAATTATTAATTAATTATTATTATTAATTAATGATGTGCTTTTAACACTAAAAATAAAACCTAGAGGGTAGGAGGTTCAGTGTAGTTTATTTTAATCGTGAAGTTTTTTCCTCCTTTGGATGTGATGGGGTCATCTGCAAACAAAGAAAACTAGGGAGAAGGTTCTTGACCTGGAAATAACTACCATCATCTAACTAAAGTAAGAATTGTGATTCCCACTACTGTCTCTGAAGTTTCTCCAGATTAAATTTCATAAAAGTTGGCAGTATAGATAACAAAGAATCAATTTGCTAATGCAGAGTTTCCCAAAAGTCTTGCTGCAGTTTCGTGCTATTAAAATTATTTAGTACAACTTATGCTTTTAAAGCTTAAAATGTCACTAAAACACTTGGGACACACTATATTTAAAAGTTGCTAAAAATTGGATGCTGAAGGTTTTAAAATGAACATTTATCAAGTCAACAGGAAAAAATGCACCACCTTAGCTGCCATTGTTATATCACAGCTTCCTAACTGACTTCCATATCTCTGATCCATCCTGTACACTGCCCCCCAGATTAATCTTCCTAAAACACTGTCTTCATCATGTATTATGCCACAAAAAAGCCTTTAACAATTTCCAAATGGCCCCCCCAAATCAAGTACAAATTCCTTAATTTGGCCTCCACAATATGACCCCAACCTACATTTCTAGCTTTATTTCACTCGCAATCCTTTTGCTCAAATGAAAATTGTCAATCCATTGTTTTCACCTCATACCCCTATGGCCCTTGTACTTTCACATTTCCATGTCTTTATTTTCTCATAGGATTATAATTTATGTGTATTCCATTCTCCTTGCTCTCCTTTTTTCACCTCACCTGAAATTTTCTCCCCTTTTCTTCACCTAATACTGCCCAACTCAAGCTCCATTTCCCCTATGGTCTGGCATTCCCAGTTCATTCCAAGCAGCAGAGAAACCCTCCCTACTTCCTCTGAACTCAAAGTGAGCTCTAAGTAATGTAGCACACCAGCGTTTCACCCAATGTCCAGTTGAGGTTGTTCTGCAAGAAATCACCTGGGAGCAGATGACAGACTGGGGATCATGGTGAGCAGCTAATGCACCCAGGAAGTTAATTACAGCCACATCAAGCTTCTGAAAGGAGGGCAGGTCTGAGAGGTGGGACAGGTAAAAGTCATCTGTGGCAGCCCAATGAAAGTATACGGAAAGAATAGCTAAGTGAGCAGCAGGAGACAATGAAAAATTGAAAGAGCAAAACAGGTGAGAATTGGTAGGGTTGGGGGGTGGAGAACAATTCCACATTACACAGTCTGATTTCAAAGCAGGAATTCTTGAAGAATCTAAGGCAGAACCAGATCAGGATATAGGCAAGAATAGGATACTGGCAACAAAATGCAGAGACAGAGCAGGATAAGTGGCAAGGAAATTCCTCAGACAAAATGGCACTTACTCAGCCTCCCATGAGAGCTCCAGAAATAACACTGGGTACAATTTAAGGTATCTCTGACTGGTATAACATTGCAGCACCTCAGGTTTACAAAACTGGGATTGCTTCATTCTTGTTTAATTTACTATCATCTGTGTGTGTGTGTGTGTGTGTGTGTGTGTGTGTGTGTGTGTGTGTACGTGTATGTGTATTCAAGGTACAGGGATAGTGTTTTCTACTTTTTATTTTCATTTAGTCTTTAAGATCTGGGCCATAGTTCTACCTTGTCCAGATCTTTCTGAATCCCATTTCTTTTATTTGATATGTTGGCTGTCCTTCCCAGCTTTGGGTCAACCAATACTTTGACAAGCATGGCAATTCTGGCTTCATCTATTCCATTGATAAAAATGTTTTACAGATTCTTTGGGCAAGCTACTAACTCCAGGTCCACAGCAATTCACAAATTACTACTCTTTAGGTCTGATCATTCAACTAGTCCCTAAGCCAACTCTCAGTGATAATAAGATCAGTTTTTTCTCTTTGAATTAATATCTGAAGTTTCCTTTATTATTCAGATTGTGTATATTTGCATCAAAACACCCGAGGCCCCAAGAGTATTATTACATTCCTCACCTTAGATATTTCTTCTGTGAATCATTGGTCCTCTCCATGGACATTATTCTTCCTGTGTCATATGATCTGGTTGGGCAGATGTATGGAACCAATGTTCTCCTTCCCCTTCATTTTTAGTTAAGACTTCTTAACAAATACATTTCACCAGTCATCATTAGAGGGACTCCGTCCCTTGCCATAGTTCCTGTATCTGAATTGTTGATTAATACTAGAACATAGCTGCTTTTTTTTTTGATATGTTTGAAATTTGTATACTGCATTGCCTAACCTTTGAAAACTTCAATCAATGCCCCAAGCTGAGTTGACTTCTATTATATGGATAAAAGCAACTTTCTACAACTTATTCTAAAATTGCAGTTGCCAAGATCTCGAAGATTGATGTAACCCCTTTAACATGGACTTCTTGGTCTCTCTTTCATTGCTAGTGTTCCACGAGCTGCGGAGAGGGCACCCAGACTCGGAGTGCCATTTGCAGAAAGATCCTGAAGTCTGGAGAGTGGGTCATTGTCAACTCTTCCCTGTGCCCGCCATTGCCTTTCTCTTCCTCCATCCAGCCCTGCATGCTAGCAGCCTGTGCGAGTAAGTATGACAAGAAGCTTCAGAGATGGGAAGAAAGGAACTCAGGAAGCCTCACCTCGCTAGAGGGCTACTTCCCTCTTCTCAGGGAAGGCTTCAAGCTGTTGTTGATGCCCCAGAGGTCTGCTAAGGCTTTTGCTGGACACCTGACAGTCAGGTTGGAAGGAGAGGAGTCTTGATTTCCCATGGGCAGAAGAGGCTCTCTTCTCCCTGAGAAGAATGGTTTGCACGGGGTGGGGGAAAAGTTCACTTGTCTGGCATACAGAGACCTGGAAGCTGGAGGTAGCATATAACTAATGAAGTCTAATATTATCCACCCTGGGGTTTTAAATCACCTCCAAACAGATTTGCTCTGTTTAATATTAATCCCTGAGGTTGTAACACTTTGGGGCTCTTGCCACCATCCGCATTAGGGACCTGGTGCTTTGCTGGGCCCACATGGTAAATTTTTAACAAGGGGAACTCTCCTTCCCTTTTGTCCTCTCCTTCTGTTTATTAAACCAAATTCTTTATTCAAATGCCTTTAACAAGGGGAACTGAATTTCCCCTGAGCTTCCCCCTGCTCAGTCCCCAGTCCCTGTGCTTTGGCTTCTAATGACATGGAACCACACAGCAGGGTGACAGGCATCCTGCTCAATTGCACCTTGTTAGTTCTTACGTTTTTATTGTGGCGGCTTGATGTTCAACAGCTGGTAGCTGGTGGCGCCCATAAAATGTAATGCGTGAAACGGCTGCCCAGGCCAAAGTAAACTGCCAGAGTCCTCACTTTTCTAACCCCTGTCTCTCTTCTCTTTCCTCCTCCTCCTCTTCCTCCTTCTCCTTCCTCCCACACCTTTGAAACCCACTCTTTTGACAATTAATCAAATGCTACTTTCTCACATTTTTATGTACTTGGACTGTATCCGTTTTTCCCTTCTCATACCATTATTTACTTTTTCATGTGTGTGTGTGTATTATCTCCCTAACTGCATTGTGACCTCCCACCTCCCTTCATCTCCTTCTCTGTTCTCTTTGTCTTCCCCATTCTGTGCCTCCCCTTCTCTTTGTCCTTCTCCTTATCTTTTCTCTCCTCTCACTCCTCCTTCCTGTCCTCTCTTCTCCCCTCTTTCCCTCTCACTCTCTTCAAACTCTGTTTTTATGGTACCGCTTTATTTACAGATACTGTTGGTTCCATTTTAGGGCCCAGTCGCCCGTCTCCAAAGCACAGTCCTCACATTACGGCCGTCAGGAAGATCTATATTCAGACCCGGAAACAAAGGAAGTTACACTTTGTGGTGGGAGGCTTTGCCTACCTGCTTCCCAAGACTTCTGTGGTCCTCAGGTGCCCCACACGGAGGTTCCGAAAGCCTCTCATCACCTGGGAGAAGGATGGCCGGCATCTCACCAGCTCTGCCCACATCACAGTGGCCCCTTTTGGCTACCTGAAGATACATCGTCTTAAGCCCTCGGACACAGGCACTTACACCTGCTCTGCAGGACCGGCTCAGGAGCATTTTGTGATCAAGCTCATTGGGGGCAACCGTAAGCTTCTGGCCAGACCCTTGGGACTGAGGGCCGAGGAGGAGCCCCCCACCGTGAGGAAGAACAGCCCAAATGATGCCCTGCGCACCCAGGAGAAGCACCAGAATGGAATTTTTTTCAATGGCAGTAAGGCCGAAAAGCGGGCCCCGGCAGTTGACCCAGGGAGCCGCTATGATGAGATTGTCTCCAGGTTGCTGGAGCAGCGGGCGTGGCCCGGAGAGCTGTTCACCTCCTGGGAGGCCCCGGACTCTACAGAGAGGAACACCTCCTCAGAGGAGGACCAGAATCCGGAGCAAGCCCTTCTCCACCTGCCCTTCACCATGGTAACCGAGCAGCAGCGGCTCGATGACCTCCTGAGGAACATCTCTCACCAGCCTGAGGAGCTGCAAGACGTGTACAGCAAGCACTTGGTAGCCCAGCTGGCGAGGGAAATCTTCAGGACTCACCTGGAGCATCAGGACTCGCTCCTCAAGTCCACAGAGGGAAGAGTCTACCCTGTGGCCATCCCTCCCCACAAACACGTGTCTGGCTTCAGCAGCTCCCTCCGCGTCTCCTCTGCAGGTTCCTCAGGAGAGGTGAGAAGTGGCCAACCACACAGGAAGCCAGTGATATTGAGGAAGATCTCAGCTGCCCAGCAGCTCTCGGCCTCTGAGGTGGTCACACACCTTGGGCAGACTGTAGCCCTTGCCAGTGGGACACTGAGTGTCCTTCTGCACTGTGAAGCTGTGGGGAACCCGAAGCCTACCATCACCTGGGCCAGGAATGGGGAAGAGGTGCAGTACAGCGATCGGTGAGCATAGTGCTGCTTTTTAGTAGGGGGAGGGGAGCACCATCCCCGCCTCCACCTCAGCCTCTCCTTTCACAGTTTCTTCTGCATTGAGCTATTTTCCAGGGCAGAACATCAAGAACTGGGCTCAGTAGGAACATCCGATTTTAGTCTTTCTTCTACCACTGACAGATTGCTTGAATTGAAGCTGCTTATTTAATTTACATAAGCCTCAGTTTTCCTTTCTCCAAAATGCCCCACAGGGCAACAAAGATTAAGGAAATGCTTTCTTTTAAGGGCTTTTAACTTTATTTTGTCAGAAAGATATTATGTAAATCATGACTATAATTACATTAGCATTTTAGTACATAGACCATTCAAAAACCTGAGATTCAAGTATGGTGTGTTTCCATGTGTGTGGTCTGATGAGGCTTTCCAGGAATGCACATACACCTGGCCTCTGCAGTTGACCTGATCCTATGACTAAACATTGCTGTATTTGGCCCTTCTATTATGACCTACAAAAAGTCATTGCACCTCTCTTGGTATGTGCATTTAAATAGAGTGGTGGTGATCACTGTCACTCAACCAATGTCATAAGATCATAGAATTTACAGCTAGAAGATTCTTAGAGATTTGATCCAACCTTTTCATTTTATGAGAGGGAAACTGAGACCCAGATAAGTTAAATGACCTATCTAAAGTACAGGTAGCAAGTAGCAGAACCTGGATTTAAGGGTCTGAGCACCTAGTCCCAACCTCCCCACCACTACCTCCCATTTTCTAGGTAAGAAAACTCAATCCCTAATGGATGAAGTATCTTATCACATGTCACCTAGATAATAATTACCAGAGCCAGGGTTTGAATTCACATCATCTGACATCATCACTATTTTGGCTAAGTCACTCACACTTGAAAAACCTTTAAAGATTTTTAACTACAGGATCAAGGGAAGCTACCATGATCAAAGAGAGCAGAAATCCAGTAGTTTGTCTCTCTAACAAGTCTATGGTTGAAAGGGACATAAACAAAATTTATTTTTAAAATAGGAAATGTTTGCATAGAATAAACCTGGATGTGTTTGCCAAATCTCAGAATACTAAGACAAGATATTATGCCTTCTGAAGATAAAAAGTAAGGGCAAATAGAATAAAATACTTCTTAATAAAGTGGATCATAAACAGATCCCATTTCTTATGCTTACAACCTATGTGACCTCACTAATGAGAGCTCACTAATTACTCACTTATAACTCACTCTGTGAGCCTTGTTGTTTTTAATCTATAAAATAAGAGAGACTAGATGGCATCTGTCCTTCCAGCTCTAAATCTATGATCCTATGATTCTATGAACTAAGGTAGCTATATTCTTTCCAGAAAGCCAAGGTTAAAATCCATTTATGTCAGTAAGACTCATCTTGGTGAGTTTAAATCCAGCCTCAGACATTTACTAGCTAGGTAACCCTGGGCAAGTCATTTTACTCTCTTTGCCCCAGTTTCCTCATCTGTAAAATGAGCTGCAGAAGAAAATGGCAAACCACTCCAATATCTTTGCCAAGAAAACCCCAAATAGAGTCACAGCAAGTTGGACACAACTGAAAAACAACCGAGAAATGATAATTGGGAGAGAGAGAGCTCTGGGAATCTTTTGTCTTGGCCTTTAAATATTATCACTGATAACCCTGGCACATAGTATCATTTAAGCTTGTTGATTGATTGATTAGTTCATTATTATTTAAGAGGGCACAGATAGTCTGGTCCTAGAAGTATATCATAGGGAATTTTAAATGGAGTGGGGATGAGTGAATCAGAAGCTTGGTAGCAATGAGCTTTAGGCACCTGCAGCATGAGGGTGCCATACAAATGAAAGCCAAAGTGGAGGCTTAAATAGTGGAGCATGTAAGCCATACGTCCAGTTGGTGGTGATGGTGACACTTAAAACAAACAGTGCCTAACTATGGTTAGGCTTCTCAATTTTGCCGGAATCCAGCTTTAGCCAACTCTTTCTACTCCAGATAGTGGGAGAAGGGTGGAAAGTAAGTTTTTTCCTGCCTTGCTAATTCATGGAACAAAAAGTATTCCATTTCTTTTGGCTGGACAGTAAGAAACGTAGCTGAAGATCAGCTTGCTGGCCTGTTTTTCAAGCCTGAGTTGGAGAAAAAAAAAAGTGTGAGCGGCACTAAACATACGAAAAGGCCAGAGCTGCCATTGGTACCACTACATCAGAAAGTGGGGGGGGGGACCCCATTTTGTGCTGGATTTCATGGCTTGTCATCATTAGTGTGCCTGGTAGTGGCTCCAAAATGCTTATTTATTTTCAAACTGCTTTCACTGAGGAAGTGCTGAAATGCCTAGGGTTGTTTCAATTGGTCTGTTTTTGTTTAGTGTCCAAACCCATCTTTCTCTTGGAGTCTCTGGGCTTCAGCACCAGCTTTGTCTGTAGGGCTTATAAAAAATAAAGTAAAAATAACCCAAGGCCTAATCACAAGTGAGATCCTATTTAGGGAGTTGACAAAATGATGGGGACCTTGGCTCTTAAAACAGTGGAAGTTTTATGCTTTTGAGCTTTCTGAGCCACTCATGTCAGCAGATGTAATGACCTTCCAATTTCTATAACTTCCCACTGCAGGAAAATCTGTACAATTCTCAGAGGTCCCAACATTTCTATTTTGGCTATTGGCTTAGTGTAGGAGAAATAGTGCTGGACTTGTAGTGAGGTGGGTTCAAATCCCACATTTCCTAACTGTGTGACCTGAAGAAATTAACTTATCTTCTTGGGGTTTAGTTTCCTTACCTATAAAATAGGCATAATACTATTTGTCTTACTTGTCTCACAGGATTATCATGAGGTCCAAATGAGATGATGTACGAAAGGTGCTATGTAAATGTTAAAGTGCTATATTCTTGTATTCTAGTTATGATGGGATAGGCTAGCTTATTATCATTGCCCTCACTTCATGCCAATTAAACCAATGTCAGCTAATGAGTTAATCCAAAAATAGTAAGACTTGGATGAGGGACAGGAGATGAGAGAAAGTTCTATGAGAGAGGAAGCACCTGAGTTCAGCCTTGTAGAGAGAACCTGAATTTACGGAGGGAATGAGGAGTTCTTTTCAGAAATGGAGGATGATGTGACCAAGGAACCAAGACAGAAGAAGGCAAGGGATGGAGAAAAGTTCAGTCTGGCTGAAAGATAGAGCTATAGGGTATGGGAATGGGAATTGAACATTATTCAAATACTAATTATTCAGCTTGTAGATTATCTGGATTTACCATTTCCCCCATCTCTTTTCATTTATTGGTCTTTTTTTACCTCAATAGGAGAATAAGCAGGAAAATAGGAGAAAAGGTGAAACTGAAGTAAGAATTATGTACTTGTTAATAGTCTTGATGATCGATTTGGTGGAAGAGGAAGTTCTGCTCACTAGCATGGTATTTTTGGATTGTGAATTTCATTTTTCCACGCTCTGCATGTCTGCCTGCCTCCCTCCCCTCCAAACACCGCCATTAGCACTGGAAATTGAGCATTGGCTGTATTTTGCACATACTTGGGCTTGGGTTTTGGAAAAGGACAGACTATTCAAATGTGTGCTGCTGTAGTTGAAGGCAGTAGATAGAGTAGCAGTTAACACACCAAAAGTCTGCTGCCAGAGCTTCTGAATAAGTTATTGAGGGGAAGTTATAACAACTTAGTCTGGTCATCTGGTTCAGCCCAAGAAGAAAACAGTCCTACTTGAAATCCCATTCTATTCTTGGCATAGTTATCAGGGCTCACAAGGGCATTATGCCCCATGGGAAGCACAACTATCTGAATAATAATAATAATAACAACTATTATTACAAAGTACTTTCTTGACTCCCAGTAGCCCTGTGGGGTAGGGAGCTTAGAATTGGGCTTAATTAGTATTAAATTGCAATTCAATTGAATTGTACTTGCTTTCCCAGCTGTATTGCTTTGGATTTCACAGGGTTTGTACTGTACTGGTGCTCCCCATGTTGCTGCTCCATAAAGTCCATCTCTGGTGTTGTCCCCTGCTCCCAGTGGGGTAAACTAGATGGTATGTTCTTATGGAGTTGTTGTGCCCTTGGGGCTGATTGGCTTGAAAAGTCAATATAACTCTCAGGTACCACTTACATCCAGGGAAAGTTTTATCTGTGGGCACTTATCCAGAAAATGCCAAAGAAAAAATGTGATTTTTTGATAATGGATAGAATTCCACTTCATATTTCCAGTCATTTTATTAGAGAATAAGTCAAAAGTTTAAGCACTTTCTAACTGTAAAATACTGGACTGAGGCCTGGGGTTAGAGCAAAAAGGACACAATTCCTACTTCCAAGGAACTTAGAATTGAGTGGGAAATATGACAATTACCCAAACCAGGTAGTATATGATAGGGCCAAGGAGAACCAAGCAGAGCTCTGTGAAAAGCTTAGTGGGAGTCAGAACACAATAAAACCAATGTGTCCCCTTTGCCAGCATCATACCATAAATCTGTACCCACCCTCCAACCCCAGACCCAACTCTCCCCCAGAATGCCCCAATGGAAGGATACCTATCCAACACTGCCATAAAAAGAAGGGGGGGATTTTATTTTGTTTAGTTTGTTTTAAGGCCATAGTCCCATATCCCTTGTTTTTCTTGTTTCGGAATACTTGTCCCAGGTGTGGGGCTGAGATGGGTCTCTAAACTACATAGGCAGAGTCAAACTAAGTCTATCGGCCATTACCATACTTTCAAGGAATCCTAAGGCTCCATGGAACTAAATTTGAAAAACAATACTCTTAGGTGTCTCCCACCTTTCCCAGGCAAGAGTGACCTTTGAAGAAATGCCTTTATTAGTTTACTTTTGTTTTGCAGGATTCCCTGTAGAAAAAAGTAGGGAGGGGGAAGACAACAGTGGGATCAGGCAGTTCTGGATTAAGCATAAATTAGTATTGAGTACTTCAGACAAACAATTAGGCTTCTATTTCACGAGGTTTTTCATTTTTATTTAGACACACCTGTTTTAGTGCATGCTTTCTCC